CAAGGTCTTGTAACAAGAAGACGCCCAAACTGGGTTTGAAATCTGGGTCTGACCCCAGAGCTCATGATCTCTCCACTACCCTGCGCCACCTCCGTGAACAACAGTGGCAAGGAATTTACCATCCGCCTTCCCCCCCAACCCCCTCCCTCCCCGCCCCATGACTATACACAAACACAGTTATTCATACTGATGCTGAGAATAGGGAACGGGAAGAGGGTGGGGAGGTTATATGGAGGCCAACCTGGGATACGGGGTGGCTGATGCAATGACCAGCTAATGGCTTGCTTCCCAAGAGAGTTTCCCTGGTCTCCACCCGCATCCCCCCCTCCGCCCACACCTGATTGGACAGTCTCATCGAAGGGGTTGGTCGAGAGGCTCAAGTGTTTCTGAGAAATTGGGTGATTTACAAGAAGCTCCTATGTGCAAGTAGTAAAGGGTGGGGTAAACAGGAAAAAAAAAAAAGAGAAGAGTCTTTTCTAAGAAGGAAACTGAAAGAAAAAGGGAAAGACTATTAAAGCAGAGCTCGAGCTACACTGGGCAGTCTCAGCTTCTCAACTGCCCAGCATTTCCAGTGGCCACCTCTGCAGCATCTCCTGCAACCTGGGTATGTATTGCCCTCTTTGCTAGGCTTAGAGTTTATTAGTATTTCTACCAGCCTTTTTCCAAAGTACTGGAAACCTTGGCTTAGGGCATGAGAAGTAGTATCTCTTAGGACCAGGGTGTTGTGCATTTTATTTCATCTCATTGTCCCAAAGTTCAGGTGACTCACAGCTTCTGTAGGGAATGGACATACTAGAAGAGTAGCTGCCTATTTGGATTCGTAGTTGACTTGCAGCACTTTGATGTTGGCTATCCTATTTTTCACTGACAGGCCTCCTTAAATAGTCGATATCCATCCACAATAACTCATTGTGATACTCATAAGTAGCTTATGCCTGGCTTCATGTAAATTAATGTCCTCTTTGCCTTTTAAGATGATGTTCATTTTATTATTTGGAGGGGAGGGTAAGCTTTCAGTGTTTAAAAAAGAAAAAGTGACCTCAATCTGTTCCAAGGTTTGAAGCGTTAAAGGACTCCTAGCTGGTAAGAAATCATTTTCTTGTCCTCTGGAAACTTGACAGTCCAAGGCCATTGTCATCCACACTCAGGGGTCAGGATGTGGAAGATGGTCTCCCACCTCCTGGTAATATTCCAGGCATCCAGGAACTTCTGGGTCCCCTGCTCTTCTCAGCTGCTCCAGAATTGGCTGTAGTGTATGATGCCACCCTTCCCCCAAATTGCAGAATCAGTGTATTCTGATCTTATCTGTGAGATGGTTTCATTGTGGCCCAAGGAATTGTTCTGCCGTTCTGTTAAACAGTTCTGTAATTCCTCTTTCCATTCCTCATCCCAAAACTGTGCCCAGTTTCTTCAGGTGCCTATTACGCTCCTTGGGAACAGTGGAACCTTTCAAAATGAGCACAAGTTTCAAGTTCCTTAAAAGGAGGAACGGAGAGTTCATTTTGAAGAGTCTTGTAATTTCCTCCTTAGCTGTGTGCTGACCTGCTGTGGACTCTGCAGTTTTGCTCTTTTCACTCCCAGTCCTTTTTTAGAGGAGATTATACGTTACTTCACAGATATAGCTTCAGTTCTTTGTTTTAGATTGTAGTATTTGTGAAATAGATAAAGCAGTTTTCCTTGACAAAAATTCAAAGCCCTATTTGCAATTTACACGGTAAACACTGAAGACAGTGGTCCTTAGTCTCCTGGCATCTCGGACCCCTTTGAGAAAGTAGTAAAACCTGGATACTCTGCTTAGAACCGCAAACGTGCAGGCAAGCTGTTGATGTCATTTCAGAGGTTCTGAACTCTGGGTTAAAAACCTCTGAAGCTAAATTAAATTCTAAAAGTTAGTTAACAAAGAAATAAAGGAGAATGTTGACTAGATAGGAGGACAAAAGGAGAATATGTGCCCATAAATGGGCTAATGAATGGCTGCCTGAAATGAGGGAAGTGATGGTTCTGTTCTCTTTGTCTCTGATCACTGCCGAAGCACTGGGCTCACTCAGGAAGTTGCATCATGCACACACACACGTGATTACAGTGTGGGTGATTCCCACACAGTGAGTATATGCCTCATGGTCCTGAGAGCAGGGAGACCTCACCTGCTGTTTCCTCAGTCAAGTTTCATTCCCGTGTGCCTCTTCTTAGTTAAATGGGAGTCTGATAGTTAAAGATACATGTTTTTCCCTACAACAGGGACCCTAAATGCAGGCTCAGTTCATCTAGCTGATCCTCTGCAGGTATCTGCTCTGTTGCAGGGGTAGATTAGCCTCTGGGGCTCACTGAGTCATTCTACCTGGCACTTTCCCGAGGAATTTTTAAGGGTAATTTTAATCTGTGCTTGATTTTGGTCCTACTCGCAGACTTCAAAACCCACTTGTTGCCTTCCGTGCAGGACACCACATTTTTGGAAGGACAAGGGTAAACCAGAGGGAATTCCAAAAAGAGTGACCAGGATAGTGGGCAGATGTTCACAATGGGTGAGGAAACCAGACTGGGTACATGGGATTAACCTGGCTCTTCCCAAGTCTCGGAAGGCTCAGTGCAGTGTCAGGACGTTCTAAGAGGACTTCTAAAGTCCAGGTAGGAGAAATCTACCTTAAACTGGAATACTGCAGAGGTATTATAAGAGGATATAAACCAGAAGGGGAAAATTAAACTAGATGATTTGTGAGATTCATTCATTCAGTAAACGTCTGTTGATAAGCTACTCTGTACCAGGTACTAGAAGCACATGAAAGAATAAAACCCAATATTTGCATTCTCTGTGTGATGGATTTTCATAAATAACTACATGCAGTGTGAGTGCTCTAATAACCTCACTAACGAGTGCTCAGGGATCACCAAGGACAGAGCAACCAACTTGGCCCCGTGGGTGCAGGGGTCAGGAAAGGCTGCAGAGGAGCCGAGGTTTGAATTAGTAAGACAGCGGGCAGAGGAGGGTATGAGACATTCCGGGCAGGGGGAGCAGCTGGAATTTGAAAGAGCACATGGTTGAGGGGGGCTTTGGCATCAGATCCCGGTTCAGCTACTCTGGCATGGAACCTCAGAGGGTGGTTCTAACTTCCCTGAGCCATCAGCCTCTGGTCGCTAATGCAGAGCAGATACTGTACCACCCAGCTTTGAAAGTTGGGAGAATTGGGGATCATGTGTAAAGCATCTGGGCGTGATGTTTGAGCATTTGTGGCTAGAAGTAATTTTCATCACTTGGGTTGTTATTTGATATGGGCCTGAGTGTTTCTCCTCTCCAGCGCTAGTCAGAAGGTTCTTCCACATTCCTTCTCTTTTTTACGGGCCTCCCTTTCCAGGAATTGAGGCAATTCTCAGCAAGGAGGGGAAAGAAACTGGCTGCTGTCCCATCCTGGTTTCAGTATTACGGTTTCATTGACTTATATAAAGATTGGTTTAAATTTTACATATTTTTTAAACAGATATTTAACAAATGGATGAATAAAAATAAATTACCCCCTCAAATTTGTGTTTTGTTCATAGAGCTGCTAGAAAAAAATTTTTTAATGATTAAAGACACAAAATAGTCATCATTAAACCTCTCCTCTATGGCTGATGCTGTGCTAGACTATTTACTTACCCACTTTATCACAATTATTCCTTGACCAATCATGCAAGTTAGCGTTGTTACTGTTATTCCCATTTTACAGTTGAGAAACTGAGGCGTATGACAGTTAAGTAGCCCATAGGATAATGTTTGAGAGCATAGGTTCTGGGGTCAAACTGTTTGAGTTTGTATCTCATCTCGACCACTCACTAACTGCGTTGTCTTGGGCAAGTGTTTTAGCCTCTCAGTTTGCTCATCTACGAAACAGAGATAACAAATCTGTCCCATAGGATTGCTGTAGATTTAAGTGAATTAATATGTATAAGGTGCTTAGAAAAATACCAGACACTTAAGAGCTGGAGGTTAGCTGCTCTGGTATAGCCGCACTGTCACTGTCATCCTCCTCATCCAAGGTGTAACAGCAAGTGACAGATGGAACTGGAGTTCAGCCAAGCTCTGGAACCCTAACAAATAATACCCGTAATGGGTTTGTGCCTTGCTTTACATTTTGTAAAATGCTCCCATGTCATTTTTTCTCATTTCTTCTCATAACAGCCCTTGAGGTAGGTGACAAAGTTCCTGATGGTGCTGCTTTATAGCTGAGGAAGCTGACACTCAGAAAAGGGAAGTGACCGACCCAAAAGGGGCTGATTGTGCCCAGCCTCGGCCCCAAGGCGGCCTCAGGTAGCCTGCCGTGTGCCCCACCTTTTTTAAGGTTAATAGTAAATAATGACTAATAGGAGGTGCAGGGACACCTTCTTCAGAGGTTTGCGGTTAAATAAGGCAGCACGTGGAGTGGACAGGCTGTATATGATTCTTACCTCATTTGGAACCCAAAAGGGATAAGGCCCTGCCTCCACCCAGACTTCCCTTCGTCTGAGAACGGAACAGCTGGCCAGCAAAGGAAGCCATTTGTTCAGCAGTATGTTGGTTATGACTGCAAAGGCCTGGGAATTCATCCCGAAAGCAATTAAGATAAAGAGTGAATAGCCATTTGCCAAATGTTTCTAGCTGTGGTGAACTTAGGGTTACTAAAGCACTTTGGTATTTGCTGCCTGAGTAGACACAAGTCCTTCCTGTGTCCTGGGCACTGGCTGAGGCACAGGGGCACCTCAGCAGATGCACACTTGCCCTTGGTTAGGAGGGGTCTTTCTTTGCCCTCCCTAAGTCTGTAAATCACAGCGATTCCTTTCGACCTCATCATTAGCATTTGTTCTTCCTCTTTTCCCCTGTTTCATGGCTCCAAATTTCTGCTTATATTTTTATTAATGTTATGTTATCTATGCCCTTTATTATAACTCATCTCCAACCTTTTTGGAAAGAAGAACTATAGCTACGGTAAAGGAAAAACAGCTGCGATGGTTTGTTGATCTCTCTCTCTCCTCCCCACACAGTCTTTTCTGGACCACTGAGCAAATCTGCCAACACCCTAGCCGGCTGTGAACGCAGGTCCTAGAAAATGGCAGATGTGCCCAACGGTGAGCAGGGCTGTGGGTCCCCAGTGGAGCTGTTCAAGAACATTGCTGCTCAAGCGGAGCTCGTGAGGGCCCTCAAAGCTGGAAACGCAGCGAAGGTATGTCATTTAACTGGGTCCTACACACACACACACACACACACACACACACACACACACACACACGTCTGTAGGGTCATGTTCATTTAACTGGGTCCTACACACACACACACACACACACACACACACACACACACACACACGTCTGTAGGGTCATGTTCATTTAACTGGGTCCTACACACACACACACACACACACACACACACACACACACACACACGTCTGTAGGGTCATGTTCATTTAACTGGGTCCTACACACACACACACACACACACACACACACACACACACACACAC